GTAATATTTTAAGGAAAAAAAAAAATTTACTTACGGATAGCATGCATTAATTAAATAGAACTTTGCTGTACATCAAGCTCAGTTTCTTACTGTTTTTTATGTTCTTTGTTACAGTTGAGTTTTTCAATTGTATATGCAGTTAAGGGAAGTAACTTGCTTTTACTTTTTTTTTCTGTAACAATTAAGCCAAATCTTGTAGATCTACTAATTTCTCATGACTGTTGGGACAGGAAAGTGCCCATTCCTGATTCAGTATCCTTCACAATATTGTGCAAGCTATGATATAATAAATCCTGCAGATTATTGCATTGTGCTTGCTGTTGTCAGCAATTTCAGTATCTGCGGTGAGACAGTTAATGAAAAATAAGTGCACAAGCTGGTGCTGTCTGCATTGTAATAATGTAATGTGTCATTCTCTCAAGCCTTCCACTTAACAGGTACCGGATTTAGAGCTTAAGCGTGTGTGTATGTGTGCATCCGTCCCTGCCTACGTTTTTACACTGACCCATTACTTTGTGTAATTAGTTCTGTAGAAGCATGTTGTCAGACATAGTGCTTTTCTAATTCTTATATTTCTGCTGTTACAAAATGGTTTTTTTTCCCCTGGTAAATTGTATGGAACAAGGTGTAACTTGGAACAGATGTAAACAGCACCTGAAACTGGTTAAAGATAGAGGACTAAAGTAACCATTTCTCTCTCAGATTCTTTGTCCTTTTTCACTTGCTAAAATATTCTGGCTTGGTGTTTATTTTCTACACAAAAATAACTTTGCTTCTTGTGTTCATAGGTTTATGTCGTACAAGTGAAATATTTGGGGCATCTGCACTAGTTGTTGGCAGTCTTCATTATATACAGGATAAGCAGTTTCAGCATCTTAGCGTTTCTGCAGAGCAGTGGCTCCCCCTTGTTGAGGTGAATGGAAACATTTTAATAGCTAAAAAGTGTACTGTACATCTTCGGTTCATCAGATGCACAGTTCAGTGTCTTTTTTTTTTAATTCTCCTGCAAAATGAACTTTTTATTTAACAGAAGCTCCTGCTGTTATCTCGGAGACTTAATTTTGAGTGTTAGGAATAAACTGGGTTATTTCATACAATTTATTCATTTATTAATTAAAAAAAAGCTTTTAATTTCTTATTGCTGTGATAAACTGATTATGTGAATGGTCATTATTACATCTTACTCTGTGTTTTATAGTGGTGTGTTGGAATTTAATATTTATTTATACAAGTTGAACAACACTTCATTTATTTTGCTTGGTCCATTGCTTTTGGTAACTTCATGGGGATAATCTTTGAGTTTGCCTGAAGCTAACTTGTACCAACCATTTCGAACCTATTATCTAGCTTATAAAAATGAGGGTTTCAACATATATGTTTAGTATTGGGTAGAAAATCTGTTTTTCAAGATCAGCTTTAAATCATCTGAAAAATTCAGAGCAAATTTTTCATTTTTTTCCCCATGGTGTTTATTTTCAGGCTATTAAAATTTTTTTTCTTCAGAACAAGATAGCTGTAGTATGTTTTGCATAAAACAGAATGCTGATGGATGTTGTCGTGCCTGATCTCTGTACGGAAGTGTACTGAGAGACCTTCTGTCACGTGAGGAAATTGGCATTTAATACAAAAAGCAGTTTACAGAACAGGATGAAGACAACTAAGAAATTATTTACTGCAAGCTATTGCAAGTTGTAATGCAGGCATGTAAGGCAACTCAGCTTCAGTAATGGCTGTTGTATTGTTTTGGGAAGGGAAACAACTGTGCACCTTGTCCCTATGCAAGAGTGATTCACACGTAAGATTTGTAGCTCTCGGAAGCATAGAAAAGCCTTTGTTCGTTGTATTAGTGGAGGACATTTTTGTGGCATTACTTAACCTTTTGTGGTATTGCTGAAGAGCTTTTAAAATGGTAAGCTATGTATATGGATTGAGTCTTTGGGGATAATAAAGGTCATTCATCTTAAAAACTGTCCAAGTAAGTTGATTATTTTATGGTAACTTCAGAAGTTTACAAATGACAGTATTTAAATATTTGTGTATTTCTCTCTGCTTTTGATGGACAGGTGAAACCATCTCAGCTTGTTGATTATTTGCAGCAGAAAAAAACGGAAGGGTACACTATTATTGGTGTGGAGCAGACAGCTAAAAGTTTTGATCTTACAGAATATTGCTTCCCAGAGAAGTCACTATTATTGCTGGGGTAAGAACATGCACTTTTTTATAAATCTACCTCTTGCAGTCCATCCCTTCTACTAGTCAGAGTTTGGTCATATGAAAACCAAGTGACGCTGGTAAAGGCAGATTAAGAATGGGAAATGATTATGGAAACAGCAGAGTTTGGCTTTGTGTGCTAAGGAGTAGGAGGTATTGTTACCTACTCCCGCATGATCCCTCTTCTTATACTTAACCTATCCATACACTGCAATCCCTTTTTTTTATGGGTGGAGGTAGCGACAGCATGGATTATAGTTTATGAGGTGTGGTAGATACCATCTGTTCACTTTAGTAGTATGGGGCGCTGTATGTGTAGGCTGCAGTGCGCTCAGCAAGGAGGAGGGCTGCCTGTTTGCCTTGCTTAACTTGGTGAGGAGGAGAGGGAGTTTGCATAGCTGGGAGACGCTTTAAAAAATTAAGATTAATTATTATATAAATAATAAATACTATCAAATAAAATAATTCATAATTAACAATAATTAAATAATATGCTTAAAATTAATTAAATATTAATTAAACAATAAATAATATAAAATTAATTGAAAAATTAATAAGGCACAGGACAAAGTAGCAAGTTTTTTGCAGTACACGCAGGGGAGGACTTCAGGGAAAAGCAATAATCAGTTGCTATAATCAGGCAAGCCTCTGATGTGACAAAGGGGCGACTACTTCAAGAAATGTAGAGGAAAGTGCCTGCAAGTCAGAAAGCTACTAGAATTGGAGGGCCACTGAGTGAGACCAGGAGGAAGGGCCTGTCTATCCTTTGAGGACAAAGTGGGCAGAAATACCCATTTTTCAAGCCTTCTTATATGTAGCTTGTCTTCAGAATGTAGTTCTCATAATCACTTTGTTCTCTTCTAATTAAAAACATACTTGTAATTCCTGATAACCTTTGGTATCTTCTGGTGTGCTCATTCTGAAGAGATGAAACATTTCCAGTTCAAGGCTTCTGTCAGTCTTGACATTCCCTCATAGCAAGACCTCATTGAATGTAGCGTGGGCAGTTGAGCTTCCTTGGTGTGCCAGCAGCTTCATGCCCTGGTCATTTCATCTACAGCCATTTATTTCACTATTTAAGGATAATTTCCAAATAAAGGCAAAGAGGGAGTTCTTATGCTGCGGGTTCAGCTATTGGTGGACCCGTGAATTAAAGAGTAGTGCTCTACAAATTTTGCTACATCAAAGGTTAGTCAGGTCTCCCATGTTTTCTTTGTATCTGTAACGTATTACTGTTTTTTAAAAAGATAATTTCTCATCCTGATCAGTTATACTAAGGGCAGATGCCACCATTTGTCAAATGGTGTTTTGATGCTGTTGTGACTTTTGCATCTTCAGCTTTCTGGAACACCCATCTTTTCCCAGATACAAGTTACTGTTTCTTCTTTACTAGAAATGAACATGAAGGGATCCCAGCAAACCTGATTCACCACCTGGATGTCTGTGTGGAAATTCCTCAGCAGGGTATTATTCGATCACTCAATGTTCATGTAAGTGGAGCTCTGCTGATCTGGGAGTACACAAGGCAACAAGTGATCAAGCAAAAACAACAAAAATAACTGCGAAGAGTTTGTGCCTTACAGTGCAGCTGTGTGACTTACCGTGGTGCTACAATGTGAAATTCTGAGTATACAAGATACAAACTCAGGGTGAATGAGGGTTTTTAAGTTTTGCATGTTTTTTTCTCTGTAGTTCAGACTGATTTTTAAATGCCTTAATACTTTACCTCCTTAAATAAAACTGTTGCATTGGAAATAAATACTATTTATATTGCATGTGGTGTATGTGATTTTTCTGCTGTTAGAGCATCAGCATAGTACCATGAACTATCCCAAACTAAAACACAGATTTTTTTTTTTTACTTGAGTTACTTTAAGATGACCATGCTTCAATTTGAAGTGGTGCCTTCCTCTAACCACAATCAAAACTTACTGTAGCCAGAGAAAAGTATTTAATCCCTCCAGTTTCTAAATACACTAGATTATATAATTTTTGCAAGATGAATCCACTTACATTATTAAAAATTGTCTGTGCTGCCCCTTGTTTAAATGCCTTCTGTGGTAATGTTTACTAATCCTGCTGTAGATGGTCTGTATCTTTAATGGAGTTGCTTCAGTAAGGTAATAAAAAAACAAAATTACACAAAAGGCCATAATGTGAGAATTGTGATAACTGTCATACTTCTAAGAGATAAAAACTGTTTATCGCTAATGTAAAAATTCCTGTTACTTATAAACTAGTATACTCAAAATATGCAAACTATGTATCATATGCACAGGAGGCATTAGGTCTTCTAATGCCTGCTGCTTTACAGACTGATGTCTGAATTAAACGGTATTTTAAAATACTTAGAAATACTTGATAAATGACAAATACAAATTACATTATACCATCACCTCCTTAGGACAAGGAGGGGAAGTTGGAACAGCTTTTCTTTTTCTAAGGAAAAAGTGGTTCACTTACTGAAAAACAATTTTATTGTTTTCTTTAGAATATGTACGTTACACATAATCATTTATTCCTGTGCAACAATTTGACTAATTATACATTCAAAACCTTAGATATGAGAACAGCCCTGCACCATATTTCTTTGACTTAGACTCATGAAAAAGCTGTCCATGACCATCCTTTTTTCAGCAGACACATGAAACCTTGCAACAAGAAAGGCAGCCTGCATTTCAGGGAGACAGCCCAGGTTACCAGTTGTTGAGCTCAAGCAGCTTCTGTCGCTTTCTCATGCTTCTTCATTTGCAGTTATTCTCACTAGATTTATTTTGAAAGCAGAGTACCTAAGACTTTCCAGCAGCTTCTGGGGGATGATACCCTTCTGTTTCAAGCTTTCTTTTATATTTTAAGAAGTCTCTTCTTTTATTGAAGTATTTGACCTGTTCAAAAAGAGAAAAAATGGTCATCAGAAGAAACGAGCAGAGGAAGGAGCTTTGTGCATCACACGCCTAAGGAAAAAAAAAGTCTTTGGTCACTGAGCTTCAGGAGGATTTTAACTGAATACACTAGTTACGAGTTTTTTCACTGTTGAAGTAGAAGACTATAGATGGGTTGGGGGATGTTTTTATCATTTTGAAAGTGAACTCCAGTTTCCTGTTATAACCACTCCCATTACTTCCATGGACATCTAATAAAAGTTGTCTTACTGCCTTACTATTTCACCACTATGAACAGAGATGATTGGTAATAGAATGGTGTCACAGACTATATGACCTCTGAATTCATTAGCTAGAGCCACTAATGTGCATGGTGCAAAGCACTAGCAGATGAAACCACTATGCCTGGAGATGATATACAGCAGAACTGCAGTGTTCAAAGCATAAGTCAGTACAGCAACTGTGAAGGTACCTGGGTGATTTAACTGACTTCAATCACCAGCTCCGACAGGAACTGTTCAGCCCCTCAGACACTACTGTTACTAAAAGGCAATGCGTATTAAAGTTAAGAATTGTAGCTTGATCTTAGGAAGCTAAAAAGCACAAGTGAGTTACTTCTAAGCAGATTGCAATTACACTGCATGAAGAAGGGTATTTTTATGCACACGAAGTTATCAGTTGCCAGTTTTAAGATGCCATGCAACTGCGAGCCCTGTGCATCACCTCCCTTCCACATCAGCTTTTCTTCTTTAGTAATTTCTGTGCACTTCTAAAGGCTTTCAGAACTTTCAATTAAGCAACAAACCTATATGCTTGTATAGTTGTGTATTTATGTGAAAGTTAGAAATTGTATTTTCCTTTTCCCTTTATACTAACTTCTCATAGCTCCCGGGCCAGTCAGTGGTCTGCTCAGCGGTTTAATTTCCTAGGAAGACCGCAAGTGTGCAAACCAAGTCACGGCTGACAAGGGTGCAGGGTTATCGATGAGAAAGTGTAAGACTACACATGTCCTGCAATCCATGTGGCTGGCGCTGCCGTCATTAACACAGTAAATGTTAATGTAAACAAGGTAAGTTACTTGTCGGTGCTGCCACTAACGTGCAAAGAAAAGCTCTAGTGTTTTAGGACGGGCTTTAGGAGGCCGAGGGCGGGAGGACGCGTAGGGAGCGGCGGCTGCTCACCCACTGCCACCGGGACTCGAAGACCAGCCGCAGCTTCTCACACTTGGAGGCATCATCCGCGTGCCTCTCCAAGCACTGCCAGAACTCGTCCCGGGCCCCCCAGCAGGCCTTCCTCTCCTCCATCGTTGGCGCCGACATCTTCGCTACCGACCTGAAAACAAACGGTGGTTGTCCAAGCGCGCCTCGCGCCCGGCGCTGCCCCGGGCCGACTCCGAGCCCTCACCGCGCCTCGCCGCTTCCACAGAGGAGCCCGACGCCGCCC